CCAGGAGGCAGCGAAGGCCAATGCTGGCCCCACGATCAGTAGAGAAAAGAGTTAACGGCATCTGCAAGCAGTCCACCTCGAACTTAGCTTTTACTGAAACTCCCACCTGGCAGCTCCCAGTGATGAACTGACTGCTCCCTAGATTCCTTTTTATGTAATAGTAACTATGGTTACTGGGTGTAATAAGAAGACCAAAATCAGCCAGGGGTGATGCAGCAAACGTGTATCCAGTGTCTGCCATGTGCCAAGCACCACATCAGGCCCTGGGAAATCTGAGAGAAGGCAGTGCGGGGAATCCCCAGATCAAAGATGCAGCCCTGCCCACCTGTGAACCTGGTGAGCCGTCACAAGCCAAATGGTATAAAAGCGCACTGCACACTGTGGAGTGGGGTGCACTCAGTCGCACATCTGCCAGTGGCTTGGACGAGCGCCTCTAGCGACGCTGAAACGGCCGAGGCTGCCTTGGAGGAGGCCTGCTGCCCGAGCGCAGGGGTCACGTGCAGCGGTTCTGCCCGACCCCAGGCTGCAGTCGTCTGTTCTTCCGTGACAGGAACCCCGAGGTCGTTGGAGGGCGTGCGGGGCGGGCAGCAGTGGTTGTCATTGTTGGGAAGAGACGTGTGCTGTTGGTGCAGGCGAAGGGGCAAGCCAAGCAGAGGGTCTGGGGAGGGGGGCGCTGACAAGCTGCACGTGTCAAGCAAGGATCAGTGGGTATAAGATGAGTTTGTACAATGACCTTGTGGCCATAATCTAAATTCATGCAGCAAGTATCTTCTGAGAGCGTTCTCTGCACCAGGCACCGTTCTAGGCACTGGGCACAAGAGAACAGAGGACCTCCCTCCCTCCCTCCCTCATGGAGCTCATCAAGATGGGGACACCAACAGGGTTTAGGTTAAAAGGCTGCTGAAGAGTGTGTACAATAACTTGGGTTATTTAAATCAGGAAATGATACATTTTCATAACACAATATTCTGAAGAGCACTCCAATCACTTTCGGTGAATTTATCAAGGATCAATTCTTGTTTCCCTGCCCACCCTCAAAAGCATTCTAGCGTGATTATAGAAAAACTAAAGATGTCAATGACTACTGCAGTAACAAAGTACTAAAAAAAGAAAAAGAAAATGAAAACCTCCAAAAGGCACTAAAATTAGTAGAAGAGCTTAAGTGCAGCTTTTATAACACTTACGTAACAAGAGCAGAAGGGCAAAAATTATGAGCGCAGTAGCCGCAGGTCCCAGGCCAACGTAGGAGTCAGACCACATTTCTGCACAACCACTGCCTTCCACGCACTTACAAACTGTGAGCGTGAGGATCTGCTTCTCAGGGCAGCTGAAGCCCTGACTATCTGCAATCTGCAAGTGGATTTCATTCCTCCCAAGCTTTTGTTCGTTTTGTTGCAGCAGCGCACTGGTGCCTGTGAGGGACAAGAAAATAAAGGAAAATAAACATGAGCAATTACTAAGGCAGGAGCAAGATTAAATTACAGAAACATTCTCTTAAAAAATTTATTGAGGTATAGTTGATTTACAATATTATAGAAGTTTCAGGTGTACAACATAGTGATTCACAAGTTTTAGAGGTTATACTCCACTTATAGTTATAAAATATTGCTTGTGCTGTACAACATATCCTTGCGGTTTATTTATTTTATACATAGTGGATGGTACCTCTATTAATCTCATCCCGTCTTGTCCCTCCCTACTTCCCTCTCCCCCCTGGTGATTACTGGTTTGTTCTCTGTATCTGTAAGTCTGCAGAAACACTCTTTAACTGTAGTCATATTAAGCTCCAGTTAAGAGCTTTATTCTTCTATAACTTCTCTGTTGAATTCACAGTGTGTGTTTGATGATGAAATTAGTCCAGACACTCCACCTTATTGTATAACCAAGGAGAAGAAAGCCTGGGTTACAGAATCCTGTCTCCATGTGTCTAAGGCTAGGGAAGAAATTCAAGAGCTCATCCAATCCCAACATCCGTATCTCTGTATCCTGAGATGGAGAAATCCATTATGTGTCTGGAGAGGCAAGGGCGTAAGCATAGAGGGTTGAAACGCAGTAGCCAGACTGCCTGGGTTCAAATCCCACTTCCAGCCCGGTGGCTGGGGCCGGGGGAGAGGCACAGACAGACTCCTTTCCATGTTGTGTCCATCACTTACCAGCTTTGTGACCTCGGACAAGCGACTTAAGTCCAAAGTTTCCTCGGCTGTCACCAGGGACTAACGTTACAGGATAAGGAGTAAATGTGAAGGTCTAGCAGACGGGCACGTGGAACACGATCAGTAAGTGGTATTTTGAATGGAAACATCGTCACCAGACGTCGAGAATTTTAGAAGACACCCATGGTGACGCCTGTGCTTAGAAAGGCAAGGCAACCCTCAGCTATGAGACAGCGACTCCCAGAGCCATTTGGAGAAAAAAACCCAGCTACATTCAGATATCAGATGTCCACGTTCCTTCTCTGCCTCCAAATGGGACACTTAAATGATTAGTCCAATCAAAGACACCATGTCTACGGTTCAGAACCACATTTTAAAACCTGTGCTGGAAATCTAACTTATGGACGAGAAAAAGTATTTAAATATGGAGTCCAATGATTTTGCTTACTTTCCTGGCGCACTATTCTCCACTTCTCTGCCATGCCAGCCGGCTTGTCAATGACGGAGAAACTGAAAGGCCAGCTGTTCTGGGGTCCATCCAGGTCCTCTGCGGTCACGTTCACATACTGCGCGTCGTCACAGACGCTCCGCACTGGGTCGATCAGCGTAGGGCAATTGTCATTGATGTCTTCTACCATGATAGCAATGGTGCCAGTGATGGTTTTTCTAGGATATTCTTAAAAACAACAACAACAAAATGTATATTTTGGTTTTACTGCTCACAACAGACACAGTTTGGATTCTCTTGCCAACTGGGTAAGGAG